CCGAACTGTATCGGTGTGCTTTCGTCCCACGTCGACCTGTTTTGTGTTCCCCAATGTGCTACTCGTCCGGTGGGTTGACTTTTAGTTCGCGAGGCGCAACATAGGAAGCTGCTAAGTATTAACACTGAGGACATAACACTAGCTGTTCTCTTCAATCGCAACACTCTTCCCGGTACAAAGAAATGCAACTTGTGAGAAACAAAGTCGCGCTCCAAAATACGCGCAAAGTTCTTGTGTAATAAATATGCAACCATTCGGAACAGGCCTCCATTGTCCTTAACATCCTGCGTGTTCCCCTATGTGATCGAATAGGCAAATTTCTCACGATAGACAAAGAAGTTGAGTTATTCGGAATAAAGTGACCAGAAGCCTATTGGAAAGAGCCACTAGGCATATAATATACGGTGAAAAATGATTAATACAACCAAAACCGAGGCAGATGATTGAGCTGCGTACTTCTGTCGTCCACCTTTGCCTTAATTCCTTCAAATTGGTCTGATATAGACCTCACAATTACAATTGATCAGCGTAAACAATAGCTTACCGGAATGTTGGACATGAAAGCTTTTGTCTTAATCTCTTCAATCCACCTTAGCAGTTACATATACTACTAAACTACCGTAGTAGGTGGCTGCAAACTCCACGGTTGACCAATGCAAACACTGACCAAGAAGGACAGCACGAATTTAGCCATCTTTTTAAATCGCTCTGACACTTACCGACAGGCTTTCGCTTTAATGGCACTTTTCCCCATTCTCGTATTTGATGGGTATCGCCTTTATCATAAGTTATTTGCAATTCAGCTTACGGCATGTTACTATATCCAAACCGATCACCTGAAGAATTACGATTTGGCCGGAAACATTTAAGCCCACAGAAGGTCCAACGATGGCTCTTTAGGAAAGATATAGTTCTCACTTTTCCAAAGCGCACGGAACATTCACTTGACGCTCGATGGATCAAAGAAACTAGTTACACTAGTGGAACCACTACAATCCCGGGATCATTCTAACTAGGGTTCGACCATATTTTCGGAAAAACGTCACGAGCATGATTATGGGAAAGGAATTTGATGCTTACCGCTCATTATATCCCGGAGCCAGGGAGCAATCGCGAAAATTTGATGCCCTAACGACCGCGATTAGCAGGAATTTGGTTTAACCGTAAATGCACAACACACGCTGTGACACAAGTTACACTTATCAGACAAACTCGCTATCCACCTGTGGCATCATACAGCATTGTTGCACATTTTCCTGGGCTTTTACTGTCGTCCTGTTACAGACACCTTGATTACAAGTCTCAATGGTCGGACTGTCCCATAAATCAGGAAGGAAGCAAACGGTAGCAAATACTTTCTGCCTCGTTCATGTCACCTGTGTCCAGTCGTATGTCAAATTTTTGACCAGCAACAAAATATCTGGTCAACTTATGATCGACTTAATGTACATTTCTGCACCTACTTGATCATGCCTGTGGCGTGCCCCACGTGGTCGAGAATAAAAATTATTTATTTGTTTTCTTGTCGGAACCCGCTCCGAGAAGGGTCGGGTGATATGACAGTATGTACGTTCGACCAATGACACCATTAAACTATTGTGAAACATCCCCATTCGCTATGATCAATTGACGTGTGATGAGTTGAATCTCATCTCGCCGAGAATCAACAGATTTATTATTCTTTGCGATTTCGTATATTTATACTGTTCCTTAGCATACCGCTGGCCACGACTAGAGCTGATACCCTGAGATAAAGAATTGAGGCTTCCAGGCTGGTAATTATGCTCGAAATGAACAGGATAATACAACGGGCTATACGGCTCGACAGTCTAACTTGTTTGCTGATGACACTTTCCATCCAGCAGATTCCAATGACGCTGTCAACATGGTCTAACGCAAGCTATATGCGATTGGAACTTGGTGCTCAAAGTGGAAAATGTCTTTTTCTACTGACAAATGCTGTGCAATGTCCTACAAGTACGATTTGGCTCATAGTGGTCTGACTATTGATGGCCAACCATTTAAGCTCTGCTCTAAGATAAGCGATCTGAAAGTGCGATATTCATGCTCAGTTGACTTCTGTGAACAAGTAAGTTATGCCACTGCGAGAGCAAGACAAAAAAATTGGACTGGTATTCAGGACCATCTCTCTACATGAATCAATACTTTATTGTTACAAACCAGCTGCTCGACCCATGTTGGAATATTGTACAATGTTGTGTAGAAGCTCAAAAAGCGACCGCGTTGCACTGGAACAAGCACAGAGAGCATTCGCGAAATGCCTCCTAGGTGTATATTCAAAACCGGAATACTCTAAACGATGTGATGGGCTCGATCCGCTCTGGCTACGGCACATGAAGCGTAACCTAGGTATATTCGTTAACATCTTGCACAGAAATATACGTTTCCAACCTCAACACGACATTAATCCAACCAACACATCTTCCAACTTGTTCCTCAACATGTACGCCAGAGTCTGGAAAAAGGTACCACCCGGAATACGTGCTTGCACTCTGGAACACAATTTCCAAAAAGCACCAGCAAATTCTTGTCTACACAGAATGTGATCAAACTGTTTGATTGTTCCAGGCTTCATATGACCCAATGCATGTCCCACTGCCATACTAGCCCAGGTGGTCTAGCTGTTCTATGTAAGAGAAGGGTTAAAAGCCAGAAAAATCATTACAAACCAGGCAACTATCTAATATTTCTTTGCTGTCCTTTCAATCGTCATTGCCTGATATGATCTTGGGCTCTAATGGCTCGGCCACGTGTTACGCGACGTGAGTGTGACCAAGCGATGACTTGGTAGAGAAGAATGAAGGCCCTCACTTCGAAACTGGCCTCAGCTGGAGCGTCTCGGCTCCCTGGTTGGGGTTCGAAAGACGATGAACACGTTTGGCTGGATACACTTGTTGATATAGCTAGGAGCCGAATACAGTGGCGTTCGTGCTGTGAGTTTCATTGTCCTACCCCCTCCAACCACCATCTCATTAGTTAGCTTTATAATTTTGCATAATAAATTATTTTTGCTGCATAGTAACCGGCTGATAGCTTTCCGGAACGATGTCCATCCGTTACTGGTAGCCCAGCTGGCATGCACCTGTTGCATTTTATTCCCTTTTTTCTTTTAGGTATGGCGGCATAGTAGCTGAGGTGTTTTCCACCTCTAGCTAACGTGTATAGTGTGTGTGATCTGATCTTGATCCGCCTGTGATCAATGTGCTATACAAGCATGCAATTGCCCGATCATATCGATACAGGGTGTCTCGCATCGTCGAGAACAAAGTTTATCTATTTATGTGTACAAGAGGTGTAGACATACATACTATTGCGCCATAGCCAGATGGGGCATGGAAGTGCGGGTGAAACCTTCCGAGGGAACACGCTGCATGGAAGCCGGGTCCATGGATGGCCGTATTACTTTAGCACTTTGCACGTCTCTAGTCGTTATTGATTTCAATTTATCGATGCTTCTGACATTCATCTTTAGTTTGCCCAAGATTCGATTGTAAACCATATTGAATAACGTGCAGCCATATAATTTATGCGATCTCGTTGTACTTATTCGAGAAGATAATTGAGTTGGACTGCGTCACTTGTTGTCGAGAAATATACCTTCTATATCTATAAAATTTGCGGTACTCGAAATAGCCGAAAGGTGCAAATGGCTGTGTGGCGAGAGTGCCCAGCATGTAACACAGCGGACCTAAATAGATGACTCAAAGTGATAGCGGCCTACTTATTTATAACAGAAGTCATAAAATACCCAGTCAACATGACGACGGTTTAGTTGATTCTAAGCCACAGCAGTACATAGCCAAATGAGGCGTAGAAATTCGGATGAAACTTTTCGAGAGACTATCCAGTAAGAAATCAAGGTCACCAATAGACAGCTGACTATCCCTACTCTCAACCTCTCCGACTTAGTATAACTTAACTGACAGAACACCACCAAAAACGTCTTTGTGAACTACACTGGAAAACTCGCACCACTTCCTCTATTATCCCATTATGTTGAACCGAAGGATCTTACCATGTGTCTCGCATTATCGATAACATGTCAGTTATCTATTAATATCACCTTAAAATTAAGGCTTAGTGCAAAGGAACTTAGAGGATGGGAAATGAGGGTCTGAAAAGTGCACCGGATACAAAAATGTCACGTCATACCACATGCAGCTTTCACCAGTCGTTGGTGAAAGCACACTCAACACTGCGTTCTATTTTGGACCAAGTAACAAAAAAGTAAAGTATGAGCAGCGACAAAAGCTAATATATGGGACAGATGCGACGAGCGTGGCCGTCCTCAAACAGAGAGGAGCTCAGGTAAAACGCATTCAGGAGTAGAGGAAGATGGCTCATCCGAATCAAAAGAAAAGAAGTGCAGTAAACTTCGGGTCTTGGTCACACTCAAGAGGTGAGCAGAACTATAAGATGCGGACCGTGGCCGTGAGCAAGATTCATGAACACAGCGAAACCATCAATCGTGAGAAGGGGAGTTCCGGAAAAAAGTTATACGGCTTTGGTTTGATACATCTACCCAACTGAGACGGATAAATACGAAAATCCACCAGATGAGTGAGGCAGTGCACTCAGAGTGGCCAGTGTGACAAGCGAGAAATGGTCAAGCATGAATATCTGTGTCCGGAACATTGAGGAGAAACCACTGAAAGCGCATATTTACCGAATCGGAGGTTGCACACATCGCAAGATTCGAGGCGCAATGATCGTATTTTCGAAGTAGCTTGGAGTGGTCTATGACTTGCAAGTAGACGAGAATTGTGATAAGCGACACTGATCGGATTACAAGGACTGAATCAGAAGAGAGCCGACATCAATGAGTTGGACAGTATGCAAACTATGGAGACGAAGATCGATGTGAAAAGCGGAATCAAAGTTATAAGGACCCACACCCAACAAGTCACTATGCTCCTATGATATTGCGCTAGTCTGACGCGTGAAATCTCTAACCATTGTAGACAAAAAAGAGTAATTTTGGGATTATTTATCAAGAAAGTAAGTTCAAAATACGTGCAACGAGCAAGAAGCGGGGTCTGAGTCGCACTGGGTCAGAAATGCATAGGAAGCAACTGTACATAGAGTGCGGATGGGTAGGAATGTACATAATTTCGTGGAGTGAATAAATAACTGAAGACTTCGTACTGTGAAAATAAGGCAGACGATTTTTACAAACACATCAGCTACTGGGAGTTTCCAGTGGTTCCGCTGCAAAGCAAAAAGTATGGGATGTGAGCAAGTGGAGGGATATGATGCAACAAATACGCAGCGAAAATTGGCTACTCATGAGTAGTGCAATAATATTAGTCAGTCGGATAACTGATTATGGGACTTCCCAGAGGTCAACGTTCGAAGACTGGCATCAAAATCAACTCAAATGCCCTCCTCAAGAGTAGGATATACAGCGTACAAGTTTCATCTACTCTGATTATGAGACCAGTTCGCTAGTGCAGATAAATAGCGAGAAATTGGAAAGAAAACCAGACCAATAGACAACAAGATCCGGAAAAGAACCGAACAGCTGTTGTATCTCCCTCAACCCGATAATGAGCTCGGAGTCATCACCCGATGGTACGAACAGAAAATAAATCTTTTGGGCATGGCAGCTGCGAACATCTCACCTATCTCTTGTGACAGTGTGACTCAAACCGGAGAAGCCTGTAGGTTAAATCATGATATCAGTGTAAAGCAGCTAACCCCCACGCAACATTTTGATAACCGGTGCTGTGACCGGACTGCCTATTCTTAGCGACAAGGGTGCGATTGTTGGATTAATTTACATGTTGATCACTATCAAAGATCTGAACCAAATGCTAGAAGCTTTGTTGCAGAAGTGTTCCCGCCAGTTCACTTCCTCAGGTGGAACTCAGTTCATCGATAATCTTGTGAATAACCTCACGGAATTCCGTTACGACGTCGTTAGTGTCACTTTCGAATCCTGGTTAAACTGCTATGAAGTGCTGTTGTGCATATATTTCGCCGACCATGAAGAGTATCGGCATGCTCGAGTTTTACAACAGAAACTTGGCCTAGCCGAACAAGGGGTGTTCAAAGACATTGTCCAAACTTCCCGTACCATAAACGTGACCTGCAACAATGGTGACGAAACCGCCAAATCGGAATGTGAGTGCTTCGATTTGTCATTGCTCCCGATAAAGCAGGAGAAGTGTCACCTTCGTTCGTGATTTGACGCCACCTAAAAACACAATTCGTACCCGGCAACTGCACCAATTGATACAGTTTGAAAGCATCGCTCTGCAGCAATGCGTCACTGAATATTTGAGCCTCATGAGTGTGAAGAGTGATACCGCGATTAATCAGCAGGCTGGGCAAACACTCAACACGGTTAAGGTACACCCCCCCCCCCCGAAGTCCAACAAATTGTGGACCACACAGGAAGCTACCACCTCCCTGCCGAAAGTTTGCAAATAACGAGTTTAAAAGCACAAGTGTCGCAGGTGACGCAAAATTGGTGACAACGATGGGTTATTTCAAAGTAAAGAAGACACAAATCTCACAATGCCAAGAGACGGTCAGAGTCCAAAGACGTCGGGAAATCATTAGGCGATGTGTCATACTTTTAATGAGCATCCAGGTGGCCTTTAACTAGATACAGCTTCAGCTATCAACATAAATGCCTCGCGATTACGGTCACTGTGTCCATTAGTGACATCTGAAATGGTATTCAGTCCTCAACAGTTATTAAATCGTGGTATGACCACTTGTAGAGTGAGCATCTCAAGCAAGTCCCAGATGTATTTCGCGACGGCATACTTTGCCGACACAATGTCACAGGGACAATGCAAGGAAAACCTGAAATACAACCGCAATTCCGTTCAAAAATATTGATGCCTCATAAAGTGTTCGCATTAGCTAAAATAAGTTCACGGCCTGGGTATCATCGTACCGGTAAGTTACTCATCCTACGCTACGCTCGTGGTTGTAGTAAAATAGGTCAACGAATCTACTCGTATTTGTAGGAACTTTTCAATGAGCTTAAATACGCAACTTCCTGTCGAAAAATTAATGGCGTGTTTAAAAGTACGGCCACGTGCGCGGGTCCGGAGCTCACCTCGAGTGATTCTCCGATGGATGCACCACAACAGATCTTGCGTTTGTGCTCGATGGTTGTATCAAAATACGTTGACCAGAAGTGGAGCAAGCCAACCGCAACGAAGTTGTACCCTGTGGAGAAGACTGGACTTTAGTCCCGAGCAATGTCGCTTGACCGCTGCCTGAGCACGACGTGTTGGTATTGAAAACAACGCTGATTGGAGCATTGGGCCGAGATAGAGGAGAACCTTGAGCGCCGCACACAGCACGGCTAGAAGAGAATGATATGCTTTTCATGCCTTGCAGACCTGGTGGTGTTGGACCTTTATGCCCAGAAATGGGCACAAATGGAATGCTCGAACTGGACGATACAGAAGAGCTGGTAACCAAAGAGGCGGCCTTTAGAGAACGTGCGATAACTGGATTGGCTGCAGACGATGTCGGGACAGCCAGAGTAGGAGGCGATCCGGGGCTAGTGTATGGTTGCTGCCAATTACAGTTTGGATTTGTTTGTGGATCCCTCACTGTGAGACCAGATGGTGAGTTTAACTGCGTCGCTAAGTTTTGAAGTCTGGAAACCGAGCTGCGCACAGGTGCGGTAGCAGAAGGGACGATCAAAGGCGCTTTCTCTCGTTGATCCAAAACTGTGGACGAATCCTGTGCCATCCATGTGTCGGGATCATAGCCCATCTAAGACAGTAGGAAGATCGATAGAGAGAAGGTTTTAGTGAATAACTAAAAGCGATTCCAAGTGCAGTTTACATGTACAGAGGATAAGGCAGACTTAGAGTTAAATAAAAATGCTAAGCTTGCTCCAGAAGACGACAGAAGTGGTAGTAAACTCGAAAGTAAAGGAACATGCGTAGAGCGCCGGTTATTGACCGAGCTACAACCGGAGCTTAGCAGGACATGTCACATACTTAGGACGAGAAAATAAGCATAGCAGGGTGGTAAACAACTGGGTGATCGCGGATACCGCTTACAATATGGGAATTTGAACATAAATATCGGCAAGAAAAGCGTGAAAGCAGCAACAGAAGTGAACGAGCCCAGCTGAATGCTCAAGGAACGAACGCCTACAAAACAGAGTGATGGGGAGTCAAAGTGAGGGAAGTGTAGTTGGCTCTTCGCTACTACTTCACATCAATAATAATAACATAGCCAAAGAAAACGACCAGAAATTTCTATTTGCAGATAACAGCAAGATTGTCTATGAGCTTCGGCGGGATCAGCTTCACAACATCCTGCTGCTAACCCATTCCTTTAAGGAATGGTGCAACACGTAGTTGGTGAAATGCTCGTCTGACAAAGCAAGCATTATATCCCACGATTGCTCGACCTCCGAAGGGTCAGTCAAACTCGGCAGTAAAAGTATGTACACACAGCATACTACCAGTTATCTTGGAATCCAGTATCCTTCCAATTTCCACTTTTTTGAACAAGTCCAAGGCCAAATACCTTGTGCCAGACAATCGATGATTAAAATGTTATAAAATCCATAGTCCCTGCCAAACCCGATTTGTTTCATCCTTGAATACGGAAACGTCCACAAAGGCATCAAGCGGGATGATTGACAAGAAAGCTATGGAGAATGTAAAGAGGTCATTCACTAAACGTACACCTACCATATACTATAGCGTGAACGTGGTAAGCAACATAACCTCGAGCCCCTCTGGCCGCGAGGTCTAAAGCAAAAGATGATGCCTTACACACTTTGATATATCCGAATACATACTCCTACCTGCCTAATTTAGAGACGAAACAAAATACCCTTCAAAGACTCCGTAACAAAAACTATACACCACGGACGGGAGTAACGATGTGTTTTAACTGTTTCTTCAGCAGATACACCGTTTTGTGGAACAGTCTGCCAACTACAATCGAAGCATGTGAGAACTCCAAAGCAGTCCATACCAAACTCGATAGTTTCCATGAACTGGAAGTGGCGTCATCTGTGTCTGCATACAAAAATCAGCTGATTAAGCAACCCAAAATCGTTTGGAAAGCTAAACTCGGTATAAGTATTCACTAATGATAAGCCCTGCATATACTGATCTGTTCCTACCTTGGGAACAGTTTCTCGTTTTTTTAGAGAAATTTGATAAAACATTACTATATGAGGTGACTGCATGTTTCTGTGCCAAGAGTAGCCAAAGACGGTAAGATGATTTTCAGAAGCAAGGGAGAACAGATGCGAAGTTATTAAACCTTGAGTATTTAACCGGAAGATGAATTAATTCAATGAGCACATCCTCTAGCGCGAAACTGTCCCTTTAATCGCAAAAATGCAGGTAAAAAAATGCAACACAAACAGAAGGATAACAAAACTGGGCATAATGTACCAAAAGCATGTTTTATGTTGGGTCTCCAATGGCCAGTCATACTTTTTGTAAATGAACTACCGAGATCATCTCCACTCACATTTCCAGCTGGTCCACAATGCAAATGCGGGATTGACGGTTGGAAAAAATAATAATAAATAACAGTTTGTCAGCTATCATGACGGTGCTTTGCTGCCGCGCGACCACCATCAGTCGCAAGCGGGCTGAGTATACCGCGATGACGCCCACCCCAACGTGGACTCGAACCCGCGCAGCAAGGTTACGGGACAAGCTTGTTACCTATAGGCTATGGGCCGGCTAGACACAGCAGTACAGTAAAGCATTCGCATTTAAGCCGATGGGTAAGTGCAGGGATTCAGTGGCGTTGTCAAAATGCGCACCCTTCGCAGTTCAGGCTGATACATTATAAGGAAATACCCACCGACTGAGCGTGAATGCAATGCGCATTTAAGCATAACGATGTAAGCAAAATGAAACAATGGAGCGTGGTTAATGACAAGTCCATCCCAACATCGAAACGCGCACGATGATGAGCACATTGCAGCGACCTCGATAAGGCTAACGAAAATGCGCTCGCTATACACTTTGATAATGGTGAAGGCGCTGTCAGTAGAACCTACCAGACAGTTACATGGTTGGCGGCATCCGTTTTCGGATTTGCCTGTCACTGTGGACAGCCACAGGATGCCTGCGCCTATAGAGGGACCATGGTTGGTTTGCGCTGTACCACCCACAGCTCCAACCACACACCTCATATCCAGTGTAAACCTGAAGGAATAAGATGGAAGCCACGTTTCATCAACGGAGCCGGCCCACACTCATTCACAGGCAAACACAAGCACGCTATATTTGAAGAATCAAGCGCACACAAGGCGGGGGCTGGACCGTAGTCCGCTCCACACTGAGTGCATGGAACCACTCTTCGAGCCTAGCACGGCCACGAGGACCGTGCACCCCGTCTCCTCCAGCAACGACCAACTATCTCCTAGAGACAGTATGGACGAGGTAGTGGGTAATAGACAGGTAGGCACCCTGTCAACATGCACATCAAGCGCAGCCGCACTGGGGATGTCAAACAACAGCCAATCACTTGAAATGACAGTAACAAATAAAATATACCGGTTAAAGAATACGGCTATGCAGACAGAACTGTACCCTAAATTAGCATATGAAGTATGTTGGTTAGCAACGAATCCGCGATAAGTAAAAAAGGTCCAGAAGTGACTCAGAAAATGCTACAAACGCAATAAAGTTAACGAAGATAAGCAAAATTACCGTAGGCAATGTGGAAATTTGAGAGATTATTCCGGTAGGAGAACAAATCAAATGAAGTAGAATGACATTTATCCAGCTGCAAAAGAGACTTAGTTTAAGTGTGTTGGTTTAGCCCAACTGCGGTGAAGAAGTACCATGAATGCGACATCAGCCTCAGCATGGGGCAACCAGACAGTGATATATATATATATATATATATATATATATATATATATATATATATATATATATATATATATATATAGCAACAGTCTATGAATAGACATAGATCCATCGGAAACCATGGAACACAAAGAAGGTACAGATATTGTAAAAGAAAACACAATGCAACATATTACAGTCCATGACTTAGGCTTGGGCAACCGGATAGTATCTCGCTGTCTGACGAAACCAGACAGTTAAGTAACTGTAGAGCGAAGAGGAGGAAGTGAGGGAGTGCATCCATTCATCATTTCCTGGTACTGTGAAGGTGTGGCACACCGAGTCGTGTCTTTAGGATCGAACTATACATAAATAGCAGTGTGTGTTCTAACATTCTAGAGGTTCATTTCAGCTAGATGTCGATTTTGGCCGGACTTGATATAAGTGGAAACAGAGCTCACTCGTCGTCAGTAGATATCCTGAACAAGATTATCTACTCAAGAAAATTGACAACCACCATTATGCATAATGGTGGGCAGATCTTGTGTCAGTGATAGGCTTAGAGTGACTATGAAATAGTGATTAAACCACTGAATTGTATGCATGACGGTCACCATGTTGATACAGGGTAAAAGCGCGCACTATTCAGACGCTCATAAATGGGTCCCATTTTCAATCCCCTGAAACCATCATGACCCAAATGTGTCCTCGAATGGATTTTAACATCTATGGGTGACATGCACTGAGAGAAAGTGAGGTCAAATCAAAAGTTTCGGCTCCAACACGAATGATTCCCGATTCTATCATATCGGACCGATATACGTACGGGGTATGTCACAAGTCCCCATGAGCTCACGACACACAGACGTACTGTGGTAGTTCATAGCCTTAATAAGAAAATTCGAAAACGGGTGACATCACCCGTGTAGCCTTTAGGATGCCATGGATGATGTACACAGTAACTGACTTGGCTGAAGCAGCCGTAGAAAAGCAAGTGATTATTTGGTCTTTTCCAATATCCGTCAAATGACAGTGATACGGTATTGCCTGAACTTGTAATCAGGCATGCAGAACAGTGATGAAGTGAACTGTGAAGGTAAAACGACAAAGAATAACAGGTCACTGTGGAAATCACCATGAGTAACGGTGAGACCGTTCAGCGAACTACAGTCGACTCACATTCAACATGAAACAAGGTCAGAAGAAGAATACAGATGTAGACATCAGCAGTGCGCAGTGCCGACGCTTCGCTGCCCTGCAAGCATCACCGGTCGCACGTGGTCTACGGATACTGCAAGGGTCGCCGTGCCCCATCCGCAGGCTCGAACTTTCGCCGTCAGATCACAAGACAAGGTTGTTACCTTTAGACTACGAACATGCTTAAGTATGTTGGCAGCATTCATCATTCTACAAAATGATGATGGGACAAGAATTGGAAGTAACAATTTAGATGTAAACGCATTATGTAACTAGGTCGGTGAAAACAGAGCTAGGCATCAGGGTGAATGGAAACATAAACGAAACATCTCCATTCTACGAATAAAAGGTAGACAGGTAGGGGAAGCAAGCAGGAGATATTTCGATTCACAAACTGTGTAATTGGGTGGGGCACACACATCAAACGAAATGAAAACTGATGAATAGGAAGACACACAAATGAGATAAAACTGTATGCAGAGAGCTGATAAAATTTTGAACATTTTGTCAATTTCGCAGGCCATAGTGGGCAGGAAACGCGGAAGCATTGTGGTCGCAAGTCAAATAATATGGATGGTCGACAAAACTAACCATGAGAGAAACCTTTATAACGCAGATATTAAGTTCGGTGAGAGGTTGTTTCTTGGGGTGTGACTAGATTGCAATATATAGAACCAAAAGCGAGGAAAGTGTATGGTAGGTTTATTGAACAAAAATAAACGAGAGTGGCGCGTGACAGCAGTCAAGAACGAACGAGGACAACATTTATCCATAGCTGATACACCCGGGAAAAGTCATATGTGACACAAACGTAACCACAAAGATGACAAAATGCAACAATAATAGTACAGAGATGGCAATACGTAAATAGGCAGATAAGTAAGAAGAAAAGGCGAGAAGAGACAAACCGGTAACAAATCGTTGAGATAACAGACAGCTTGACTTACTGAATCCTCGCCGTGTAGATCCGACTCGGAAGATCCAGAAGGCTGCGAGACGACCTTGCCTATCAGAGAACAGATTGGATAAATCGATGAGAAAAGTAAAAACACGGGCGGTATACGAAAAGGGAAAAACCCAACCAGACACGTAACAGTGCGGTGAGAGGACTCAAGCGCCTATTAGCACAGGCGGATATTTCTTGCCATCATACAAAAGCATCCAATAACATGATTGGCGGAGCTCAGTAATGAAGGCGCTTAAATTGAAACCTCTGCACCTCCGCCTCCATAGATTAGAAAATCCTGGCAGTATCCCATCCGGTTTATAACCGCGTGCAGTTGAATGACGATGAAGTATTAGCAAACTATGCTGAAGGACGGCTGATACCTCGCCAACCTCATGAGAGAAAGGTAGCAAGAATGCACACGAATAAACATACGCATGCATGTCTCTAGTTTTCTTAACATTTCCAAGAACACTAAGTGATTCCTTCGTTTAATATCTTAGACACGATACACTAACATGGAGAAGCTCAGCAGAGCCCGTGAAACCTGACCTTTGTAAGCGCTGAATTAAGACATTGTTGTCCTGCACGTGTTCTGGAGATGATTCATATGTAAACACCGAAAGTATTCCTTCGGAGCAGCGGGTGGACGCGAAAGATGCAATGAAGAATAGCATCACAGGAATGAGAGGTGATTCGACTTCACTGAAAATGTGACCGATCAGGCTAGCAGTGGACGCTTGGCGACGGTGCTTCTTGGGCAAATGTAAAAGTCAGGATGCACAGCAGTATATATATATATATATATATATATATATATATATATATATATATATATATATATATATATGTTGGCGGCATCCGGTTTCGGATTTGCCTGTCACTGTGGCAAGCCACAGGACGCCTGCGCCTACAGAGGGACCATGGATGGCTTGCGCTGCACCACCCACAGCTCCAACCACATACCCCATATCCAGTGTAAACCCGAAGGAATAAGACCGGGAGGCATGCGGATGGGAACCACGTTTCATCAACGGAGCCGGCCCACACTCCTTCACAGGCAAACACAAGCACGCTGTATTTGGGGAATCAACCGCCCACAAGGCGGGGGCTGGACCGTAGTCCGCTCCACACTGAGTGCATGGAACCGCTCTTTGAGCCTAGCACGGCCACAAGAACCGTGCACCCCGTCCCCTCCAGCAACGACCAACTGTCTCCTGGAGCCAGTATGAACGATGTAGTGGGTAATAGACAGGTAGGCACCTTGTCAACATACACATCAAGCGCAACCATACCAGGGATTTCAAACAACAGCCATTCAATTTAAACGACAAGCTGAAATAAAATAAATCCAATAATGCATACAGTGGCATAACTCTTCGCTAAATTACCATATGAGGTAAGTTGGTCAGCAACAAATCCGTGATAAGTAAGAAATGTCCACAAGTTACTTAAAATGCTACAAACGCAACAAAATTACCGAACATAAGCGCAATTAGTGTAAGCAACGTGGCCAGTTAATAGAACATTATTCAGGGAGGCAGACCAAACCAAATAAAGTGGAATGAAATTTATCCAGCTTAAAAAGACCTAGTTTAAGTGTAAGTTGGTTTAGCCCAACTGCGGTGAAGAAGCATCAAGAATGCAACATCAGCTTCAGCATGGGGCACATGGTTGGCACATATATGGAGCACATATATATACATATATATATATATGCATAGCGGGAGAGCCTATGGCGCGCTGAGGCTGGTGGTGGCTAGATCCTGACATATGGTCTACCCACTGCTGCTAGTGTTGCGCCATAGGCTCATGTCCAGGACGCTTCCTCGTGGCGACCGCTGAGTGGGAGTTGGGTTTCCCTCTTTCCTTCTGCTAAGATCCAGGACACCAATTCACATGAGTCAGTGAACTTACCATGTGCTAGACCCGCTGCCTTTCGGGTGTTCATTTAATCGGCTTTGGCTGAGGACCCGAGTCGTTCTCTTGTCAGGTGTGGGCGCCCTGGCAGTATCCTAGTCCATCCTCTTCGGAGGTTAGGAAGTGGTCGATGGCCCTCTTCCCGTAAAACCTAGCAATGGGAGACAACAGGTCTGCGGGTTATAAGCTCATAGCTCGATTGGCATAAAGCATGAAGGCCACGCATTGTCTCTGACGGTGGGAGGGCACCTCCGGGTGTTCAATGGTTTGCTACTGCCCGCCTCAAGCCTGGCAGCCCCTGGTCAAATTGGTGCAAACCCGCCAAAACCCACCTGCGTCTGGCCGTGGTCGCAGGTGCGTATCCTACTACGGTCGCAAAATATATAGAAATCGTTCCAGTACCTCCAAGGCTGCGTGTGACGGCCGTCAAGCAGATTCCAATCTGTCTCTGCAATCACATTCCCGAGCTGGATCTGCTCCCTACTGACTTGTGGATCAGGCTATTGAGCCAAAGGCTATGGGCGCAGTACCTCAAGCTAATCTCCAAACCACCCATTGCCTTGTGGGTCAGGCTATTGAGCCAAAGGCTCCAGGCAGAGTCCCTCAAGCAAACCTCCAAACCACCCACTGCCTTGTGGGTCAGACTATTGAGCCAAAGGCTCCGGCTGGAGTCCCTCAAACAAACCTCCGAAGCACAACGACCACCTCTCGTGCGGTTGTCCACCAATGCAATCGTAGGCCTGCGCACAAAGCACTCGGTATCGGGTGCTGAAAAGTGCGCACACTACTGGACCGGAACTCCAGCAAACGCCCGGAGCGACGCACTGCACTCGTCGCGATGGAACTGGCGCGCTACAACATCGATGTTGCGGCGCTCAGTGAAACCCGGCTCGCTAAACACGGTAATTTGCATGAAGCATGTGATGACTACCCATTCTACTGGGTAGGCAACGCCGCCTCAGCACCACGTGATCACGGGGTCGGATTTGCAATATCCGATCGCCTCCCTGGATAGCTGGTGGGTAAACCAACGGGCATCAGCCCGCGACTGATGACTGTTCGCCTACGACTCGAAAGAGGTAAGTTTGGTACTTTTATAAGCACATACGATCCGACCACGTGTTATCCTGATGACACGCGTGATCAATTTTACACTGAGTTATCCTCCATGATATGGTCTGTGCCGAGGAGCGACCGACTATTTCTGCTGGGTGATTTCAACGCGTGAGTCGAGCGGGAAGCATCGGGGTGGACAGATGTTATCGGTCCGCATGGCATTGGTTCAGCGAATGCGCACGGTGACAGGCTGCTCTCACTGTGTGCCACTCACGGCCTGACGATCAAGAACACTCGGTTTGCACTGCGAGTGATATAGCAACTTGGACGCATCCACGGAGTGGTCACGCTCACTTGCTCGACTATGTCATCGTACGTCAGCGTGAAGTGCGCATGACACGTGTACTGCGTGGAGCTGAGTGTGGCACTGATCACAAATTGGTGCGGACCAAACTGTACATATATTTTCGTAAATCTATGTATTGCACTCCTGAAGTGAACCGGCGTAAAGTTAATATTCTCTCTCTCGGTACTGTGACGAAACGTACTGAGCTGGAGAAGGCAATGGCTGCACGCTTGTGTAATGTGGACTGCATAGCCACAGTGGGCGACCTGTGGCACCACATTCGCGATCAGGTGACGGCTGCTTCTGAGACCATCGGGCGCGCAAACTGCAATCGGCCTGATTGGTTTGATAATAACAATGCGACGATCAGCGCATTGGTGTCGGAGAAGAATGCAGCATTTGCTGCACACGTTGCAGACCCCAGTGACTTGGGGAAGAGTAGTCAGTTTCGCAAACTTCGACGGCGATTGATTCGCGAGCTCCGATGCATTAAAACTGCATGGTGGAAGGAGAAGGCGAAGCAGATGGAATGCTACGCCGAACGCCGCCAACACAAGGGATTCTTTGACTTCTTGAAGGCGGTGTATGGACCGAGGTTGGAGACGCTGAGGACACCGATCGATGGTAGTTCAGGCGCTACCTGCACCCAGACTGCAGATATAATGCAGATCTGGCGAAATAACTTTGACTGTCTCTTAAACAACCGTTCAGAGATCGACTTTCCTACTTTGAATGGCCTCAAGCAGCACGATGTGAAGGTGAGTCTGGCGGACACGTCGACACTGGATGAGACGCAGAGGGCACTTGCTTAGCTGCGAAACGGCAAGTGTGCCGGGGCCGACGGGATCCGGCCTTAAGTATTGAGACACGGCGGACCCGCGTTGTTGACTGCGCTGCACCACTTGGTGCAACGCGTGTGGATTGAGGAGGAGGTGACTCCTGAGCTGAACGATGCCCTTGTGCTACCACTGTACAAGGGTAAAGGGAGCAAGCAATGTCGCACGAATTATCGTGGCACCAACTTGCTGAGTTGTGTGGGCAAGGTGATTGCCCGAATCCTACTCAACCGCCTCGTCAGTCAGGTTCTGGAACCGAACGCGGCGGAAGAGCAATGTGGATTCCGTTCTGGTCGCAGCACTATAGATATGGTGTTTTCGGCTCGTCAGTTGCAGGAGAAGTGCAGAGAACGACACAAGCCGTTGTACTCGCTTTTTGTTGATTTCACCATGGCATTTGATACGGTGAACCGCGAGGCATTGTGGCTGCTGTTGGGTAAGTTTGGTTGCCCACGTAAGTTTGTAAATTTGATTGAATGTCTGCACAGTGGTATGCGAGCGAGGGTGCAGCTAAGGGGAGAGACATCGGATGACTGCAGTTGTCACTGGTGTGAAGCAAGGCTGTGTCTTCGCTTCTGTCCCGTTTAATATATATCTTCATGCCATGATGTCTTGTGCTTTTGAATCGTCTCGTAAGTACGGTGTTCGTGTGGAGCACCGTACCGATGGTGGGTTGCCGAATATCCGTCGTTTCGGTGCGAGAACTCTAGTCTGTGAGAAAACTATCCATATGCTGCTGTTTGCTGACGACTGTGTGTTGTTTTCACACAGCGCGGATGAGTTGCAGCACATGACTAGTGCTCTGGCTTCGACAGCGGCCAAATTCGGACTCACGATCAACACAAGCAAAACTGTCTGTCTATTTCAGCCTTCATTGGAGGTGTAGTCTGCAATGGTGCCGC